GGAAGTAAACAAGGAGAAGAAGTTCTGCTTTGTACAGACGTGTGACCCCAAGTTCTCATGAGGTCTAAAACCTCACTGTCCCTCGATGACTACCTCCGTCGCAGCTGTCTTCTAAAATGATGTTTAACTAGAGTGACGTAAAGGTTGCATTGAATTATGGTCGCTTGGCTGCTCAGACTGATTTAGAGCCACATATGAAAGTGGCCAAAAAGATCAGATTCCATGTGATTTGTGTTGTTCACACTTTAATTACAGAATTAGATCTGGGATAGGGGGAAAAAAAATTATAGTCATTTTGTGCGACCATGTGGGCACTGATGGGTAAAAGGCTTCTCCACAGTAAATTGATTGATTGACTCAGCCTCTCCTGTTGCTGCTCTTTCTCTCGACACGCACAAACAACACACGACACATTTGTAAACTCAGAGTGGATAAAAACAACATCATTTTGTCTGTCGGAAATCAAAATGACGCATGTTTATTATCATGTTTAGTGGGGAAGTGAGATTTGATCATGATGAGCTGTTAGGATCACTTCTCTCAGGACGGTCTTCCACAGAGACTCATGATTCATTTTTATTGTTGAGTTTTTTATTTATCCAATTGTGATAATGTGAAAGAAATAACTTGAAAAGGTCGGTTTAAACATCTGGACAATCGTGCCATTACAGCATCAAAGTGAAGGAGAGTCAGTGGCGCAAGCCGTCCAGATGTTAAAGGACATTTTGGAGGGTTTTCTGTGTTTTCTGCCAAAAACAGTTTTGTGCTTTTCCCTTCGCGAGGAGGAGAAGGGCAGCTGAGAGGCTGGTGTAGGTCTCTGGGGTCTGAAGACAGGTGGACAGGTGGAGGAGCTCTGGCTGTGTCTGGAGTGTCGGGGGGGATCCTGTCATTCAAACTAACAACAAACACAGCAGAGAACGTGTGAGTGTGTGCCAGGGTGAGACTGTCTTTTTGTTGCTAGGGAGCGGGCAGACTAATTTTCTCTTTCCTGTGGGCTTGGTGTTCTTCAGGGTTCCTTCCCTGCTGGCCTCTCCAGCAGATGTAGAGCGGCACTGCCCAGTGACGTGCTTTGTTTTCCAAACCCGGCTCGCGGTCGATGGAGACGAGCAAATGAAACAGGAATATCTGGAACATCAGATCATTTCTCTCCTGAAAACAAATCAGAGCTAAAAGGGAGACTGAAAATGAGATATTCATCTGAATGTCTGCCTGGGCAATTTCCACAACGCTCATCAGACCTGTCATTCTCCTTTCCAGGTCAATTAAAGGCACAATGCCAAAAAACCACTAAGCTATAATGTTTTTGAGATCACAGTATGTCAGGCTGTGGGTTGGCCACATTCTTTTGGTATCATGCAGTAAGATCCACCTTTGCCAAACTGGTTTTCCCACACCAGCAAAAAGAACTGTGGGAAAATGACAACATATAAAAGCTGTAATTCTGGGTAAGAACTGAAGTTCACATTTCTGCACTTTGCCTCTGTTTGTTCACAGGAACTCAGAAGAATGAGAAGAAGTGCTAATCATCCTTAAGCAGCATTTGTTCTGCATCGCTTCCTTTTTTCATAGAGAAAATACTGCAGAGGAATAATCCACAGTGTGGAAAGTGGTTTCTAAGTCCTGGTCAACCTCTCACCCCCTGTACTCCATGGGGGGGCTCTCACACACACACACACACACACACATTCCATCAGAGGGCAAAGTCAAAAATAAACAAACAGAAAAACATTGAATAAATAGAACTAAATCTACAAAACTGACTCCAGAAAGAGATGTTTCCTCTTCTTTCGTTTTTTTTTTAAATATACCAAATGCAGAGTTTACATAAGAATAAATCCACAAGAGGATGGTTGTTACTCTAGCTGACAGTGTGTGTACTTAGCTGCCAGAGACATATTGGCATAGGTTAAATTAAATTTGAAAAACGTGTTTGTCTAAAACTATCCTTATATTGAGGTAAATATTGACTTCATCCAACTCACCAACCTGCCTGAACTTACACCACAAAGTCGAGTTTGACAAGATCCTCTCCTCCATCACTGTATTTTCAACTCCTGCCACACATCACCTTTGGCTCTGTGTGTTTTCTTAAAAGAGGAGAAGCTGTAAGTGCGTCTGAACCGAGGCTCTGAGGGAGACACAGATCTGCAGAGTGACAAAGGCCAGGCAGACGAACTCGGCAGCTGGAGGAGCTGGTTGAGCATCTTTGGTGTTTGAGAGCTCAGGTGGGAAGAGCAGGGAGAGACGGGGCTCTGAGTTAGTTCATCACAGAGCTTTTGCCACTTGCTGACAACGAGAGTGTTAGTGGGACCCAGAAAACTGCTGGCGAGGATAAAATAGGCTCCTTTTGTTCTATTCAGCCTAGTGGAGCAGCAATAAAGCTTCCCTCCCATTCCCCAGAGCCGGGCACAAGAAGAAAAAGAAAAAATCTTCCGCTTTTTCAGCGGGTACTGAGAAATGCCTGCACTGAAAAGACGTTTTCACTTTGAGGATGAGGAGGGCGAAGGATGAGAGCGTGGAGGAGAGGAGGATATTATCATACTGGGAAAGTGGAGCTGGCAGAGGATGTGGGAGGGAGGAGAGGATGCTTCGATTGTGCTGATGGGAAAAAAATGGAGAAGTAAAGAAGGGAGCGGGTGGGAATGTGTGATTGGATTTGGCCGAGTGGCACAGCTAGTTGTCCGTTAGCTGGCTGAATGGGAGGTCTGTGCTATAATGGGAAAGAATGGGCATCGGCTGAGGGCTCTAATAGGGCCTTCAGAGAGGATTCAGAGGTTCAGAGCAAATCCTCAGTCACAATGGAGCACAGGTCTTCACTGACCCGGTCAAGACTCTGTCCATCTCGCCCAATTTAATCACACTCGCAGTGTGACTCACACAACACCGCCGCAAAATAACTTCAGCCCGCTGCGACTCGGCCGAGCAAGATTTGCATCTGAATATCTCCTTTGTGATTCTTAATAATACACAATATTAGGAGGAAAATGAAAGGTCCTGAAAATAAAATAGGTGACTGGAGGTTTTATCATGTTGTGCTCAAGAGAGACATGTCAAAACATTCTGTCAGTATTTCAGCGCTAATATTACCACAGCTCAAAGCAATTACAAGACAGATCGCTTATTTTTTATTTTTACCACAGGGGTTTGGAAAAATTCAGACGGTTTAAGTTTTGCGAGCCGAGGTTTTTTAGATTCTTTAATATTACACAAAGGTTGTTTATTTATTTTTTTCCCCCCAATTTCCCAGGAAATAATCCAAGGATGTCAATAAAAACATCAGACATAATTAAGGGACTGATATATTTGAAGCTGTCGACAAACGCAGGCAAATTAAAACCAGCGTCTTTCTGACTAAACAACTTTTCAAGTCAAAAACCCAAAGAAAGTCTACAACAGCTACTCCATCCACTTATATCTGAACAATACCAATGTAATAGAATCTGTACTTCTGACTGCTGGGTGTGTTTGAGCGTGGCTGAGTGCTCTTAATGCAAAGTTTGCTTAGTCGGAGCACTCCTCCGAGCGACATTTGCTGCATGGTGCATGTCATTGTGCCTGAAGGAGGAGGACAGTACCATCAGCTAGCTCCACTTAGCCTCGCTGCTGGTCGGCCTGGCCGCTGCGCGACAATTATGCCCGCAGGTAATGTGTGAGAGGAAGAGAGAGACTGACAGAGGGAGCGGGAACCGAAAGGCGGCTCTCAAGGTCACCTTTAAAAGCACAGCTGGAGCCGAGACACTTCTCTTCAGGAGCAGACGTACATTAGGTGCATGGAATAAAAAGAAAAATCAGTGCACAGGCACTAACATGCACACCAGTGAGGAAATAAGTATTAGATTCGGTGTGTACAAGTATTAGAAATATACGTTATAAAACAAAATCATCTAAATGATGCAGAACAGTCCAGGTCATTCTATTACGTTGTACTTCTACATCACAATACGAGCTTATTATCGCAGAATTGTGATGTTGTAGCTAGAAATGTTGTTGTAGCTTCTCTACTTTTATGTGATTTAATGCAACTGGATTAGATTTACATACAGAAAACCTGTTTATAATATTTACAATGTAGAAAAATTATATTTTTGACTGTGCCTTTCTGTCAGTGATTAAAGTGATGGATAGATGGACGAATCTATAGACGGATGGACAAATGGACAGACGAGTTGCTTTGTCAAACCTGCAGCTGTTTTCAGAGCAGAGTATCTGGTTGCTTTTTTTTACTACAGTACAATTCTGTTGTTGTCTGGACAAACAAACACACACGCACACACACACACACCCATGCATGCTCACTTACTGCACGTTAGACACAACTGAAAGCTTTTACTTTCAGAGGGGAAAATAAATCAATGTTGCCTGCCCTTTAAAAACAATCCACAGCTGTACAGTCTCTCAGGGGGTTGGCGGGGAGGGCGAGTCCTCCGCTGCCACTCGCCGACGCCCTGCGGCCATCGCACTTTGCAGAAACATTCAGTCCATTGCAACAAATTCAATATGACTCCACGAAACAGCCCAGATGAGATTACCCATGTTTGGATAATTACTCAACAGAAATAAGATGTTTACCTGTAATTGTTATAGCTCAGTCGAGGCCATATGTTCCAGTCGAGCCACAGCCAGAGATGCTAGTGTCTATTTATGCAGAATTCCACATCAGAGCATTATGGGCATTATCGTGATCGCTCAGTGCTTCACCCTCATCTCGCAGACACAATACGTGTAAAATTATCTCCCTGCCGCGAGCGTACAGGAGGAAACTCTGCATTATTCCACCCTTCAGCTCGCCGTGCCGTCACCTGTCGGCAGCGTGGTAATCTCACACTGATCTTCACTTTACTGCACCTCATCAACGACCATCTGCAAACAGCTGCGAGTAAGACGGCAATTCATATCGGGCTTTAATTTAAAAAAAGGGAGAGCGCTCGGTAATCCCTAGAAGTAAAGTTGTTCTGAGAATGAGCTGCGGGCCAAAATGAAGAGGATTAGAGATGGATTACCTGTGTTCTGACTCGTGGATGGAGAATATGACTCCTGACGTGGAGGACTTCTGCTGGATGGAGGCCAGGAAGGTAAACTCACTTTTACTCCTGAACAGCTGCACCACTTTCTCTGTGATGTGCGCCGGGGCGTGAACCGCTCTCCCAACATCTGAGGGAGTAAAGTGGAAGGAGAAGAAATCATGAGCTTGTGTAAACTCCTCACACGGGCGACGCGCTGTCGAGCAACATGTCAAGTTAGTTAGTCACACATGGTGGAACACAAGAGTCATACCTTTAAAAATGATTCTTCCAACTGTTCTGTCTGTTCAAAAACCAAATTTCAGTTTGTAAATTGATGTTTAGACTCTCTTGCAGTGGTGCTGCAGATGTTTTGTCACACAGGCCATGAGGTTGTAGCATGAGTTAACATCTGCAACCATCTCGGACAACAACCTCGGGTATAGTTCACTTAAAACAGGTACGTGACAACCTAATGACTTGCTGCACTCAAGGTCCAAATAAACCAAACCTTTACAATAAATGTAAAAGTGACTATTGTCTTTATTGCAGGGACATTACAAAACGTCAGTATATTCAAATGAGCAGTTCAGCTGTGTGTGTGTGTGTGTGTGTGTGTGTGTGTGTGTGTGTGTCGGAAAGAGATTACTGGAATTATGAGAGAGATATTAACAAGAAAAGCTGCAAAGCCTCAATTTAAAGAATGCAAACAGTGAATTTTTCTTCAACAGTTATCAGAATATTTTTTCTTCACTTTCCTCAACAACTTTGTCAAGTAACTCTTCAGACCTTGATGATGAAATATTGAGAATTTCCCGTGTTTTCAGAGCATGTTGCTGATTTACATACAGGGCAAGGAGAATTTCATCATTTCTTCATTAACCAAGTTGTTTTTTTTTTTGTCCACCTGAGAGAACTTTATGTCCTTGAGGAGAGAATTAAAGGAAACAAAATGAAAAACCGTGACATATTTCACCCTCACTGATGAATCCGACTGAAGCTCTCAGCAGTTATTACAACTTTGTGTTCACTATTCATTGCCAAAACAGGTCAGATGGGACAAAAAAATAAATAAATAAAACAATTACACTTCTGTCAGTTTAACCAGCGCCAACAAAAACACATACTGGAGATTTTCCTTTGGAGCTTTGATTAAATACCACAATATGCAGCGAATAACTCAAACAGGTGGTTTAGTTTGTTTTACTTCTGCAAATATCCAATTTTCTGTCACAGCCAGAAAATGTTTTATATTGAGAGACAGTGTTTCCCAAAGTCAACGTGCAGAGAAAATTAATTTTTTCAGGCTTTAAACACAGGTGTTGTCCAGTGGTGACGGAAAAAATATGTTTAATTCAGTTCAGTCTTTGTACGACAGCATCAGTTTTTATAAAGAATGAATGAAACATACTGGGAGTAGATGTTTGTGTATCTTCTGCATGTCACAAATCACCAGAAGCTGCCTGGAGGGGAAATACATGTGGTTCTATAGTTGTCTGCAGCAATTAAGCGCACTCTGCTGTTTTTAAATATAAGCGACACTCGTGGCACAATGATGGCTCTGTGGCTTCATCACTCTGATCCAGACTGAAATCCTTAAGCTACTGGATAAATCACTATGAAACCTGACGCTGGTGGTTTTAATTGACCTTTAGCGATCTCTGACTTTTCTTCCGGGCCCAGTCTGAGTCTGACATTTGTGACTGAAATGTCTCGATATCTTGTGGATTATTGGACGAGTTGCCGTGAACGTGGTCATACACTCAGACAGAAACAACCCTCGAGATGTTTGCAGTGCCAACAAAGAATTTCTTCTGAATCTCAAAAGAATAACATTAATTCACATTGTGCACCATATTTAGTCGCTCGTGTCTTTTTTAGAGCCTCATCAAAATCTTTATTTTACAGAATATACAAAGCAGAAAAAGATTTGGATTTATGTTTACATTTAGTGTTCAATATATTTGGTTGTACTTTTGTTTTATATCGAGTTATAACAAAGTTTACAGTTAAACTGTAAAATATCAAACCTCAATTACATGTACGTGTCAGTTTTTAAGATATATATCTGCTGGTAAATCGATATCAAAATTTTTTTTCCTCCTCGTTATCGGTCTCAAAAAGTTGGGCTCTGGTGTCAACACGCGTGTAGAAGAGGAAACCTGAGGAACTGGTAGAAACAGCAAACATGTGTCTGAGCCTCCGGAACTGAGCCATGATCTGAACAACAGGCTTCTGCGGTTCCACACTCACAGATGCACATGACAGAGCGTCCAGCGGAGAGGAGCCTGTGGCTGTCTCAGCTCAGGGCTTTTAAATCTCCCCGGGGTGACAGCGACCTGCCTGCCCTCGAACTCAGCCTTCCCCCGCTGTCAAAGCTCCATCAATGAAGTGCCAGCTTCCCCCGGTTCTCCAGCACGCCGGCTCCCTGACCGCTCTGTCATTAGATCACTGCTTCAAATCTGCAGGGACACTGCCCCCGGTTTTCATGATGTAAAGATACTGACAAATTTCACCTGACCGACAAAAAGAAACTACATTCTGCCTCAAGGTCAACAAGAGTTTCCACATTCATTCAACCCCACTTACACAGCAGCTGACGCCCTCATGTAAGTGCTTAATACGGTCGAGTTCACTCTCCACAGCTGATGATCTCCACTCAAAACAGGCAGCAAAACAAAGCGCAGACTCTCATCCCTGTGCATATGAGCTCGACTGCAAATGAGAAAGGGCTGTTGAAATGCATTTTATCTGCAGTGATTAACGGCACATCTCAGCCTCACACACAGAGGCGCCCAGGCTGGAAGATCCATGATCAGACTGGATAAGAAGCTGAAGCTAAGTTTCTTTCAGGTTCTTGTGCCAAAACAATTAAAATGTACAAAGTTCTTTTACTGAAAAGGTTGTTTTCCATCTTCAGGGAGGTGAAACTTGGTGAAAGTTTACACAGAAAAAAAACACAAAAGTGATGTAGGTGGGAGACATCAGTCTCTAATGCCAAAGCTTTATAAACCCAGTCATCCATTGTGACCTCCTCCTCCTCCTCCTCCTGAAAAGTTTGGTGGCGTTATGATACATCACACGACTCCCAGCTTTGCCTCTGGGAGAGAAAAGTCATAGTGCACATGACGACGAGAGATGTCACTTCTCAGGAAAAGAAACAACGCCGTGGTTTTTTTTATTTTCACGACAGTTTCATTGAATTTATTTATTTTTAAAAATAAAAACGTAATCCCAAAAACACCTAGAAAAGAAAATGTGTCAATTTCAATGAACATTAACAAGAAGTAGATCAAGGCTGCTTTGATGTTGATGTATTTCAAAGGGATGTTTAGTGAGTAAAAGTTACTGACTGCGCTTTAAACTCAGCAGCAAGTCCTGTATTTGTTACTGGTACATTAAAGTATTTCTCCTGCTGTAGATATAAAACTGTAAAGGGAAATAGATTCTCCATGTTGAGTAGATGCAAACTGTTCTTGCACAGTTTGTACCTGAGGATTTGTCTGATCTTCAAACCTGCAACTAAAAGTTTTGTGTGTAAAGTAACTGTTACGTTTTCCATAACGAGGAAATCTATCAAAAGTGCCTGATTGCTTTAAACTGTATTTAAAATTTTAATTTGGCAAATTAAAACCACATTTACAAAAGTTGCTTAAACCCAAAACAAAACAAAGTGAGAGTGATCTCGGTCCGACGGTCCGCTAACAATGATGGATTGAAAATATGATGCGAGCAGAGCTAAAGCAGTGCAGCCGAACAGGCTCATGCTTGTAGACATAAACAAACTCATTTACAGTGACAGGAGGAGCCAGGTAGAGCGGGAAGGTTCGTCTCCCGGCAGACGAGCTCAGTGTAGCAGGCAGCCGCCGTCTGTCGGCCCCCTCCCCTCCCATCTTACAGCTCATCACTTTAATCAGGAGCCTGGAGGGTCCTCCCCCAGCTCAGATGGCTTCTTTAACTGAGGAAGAGGAGCTCAGCCTCCGTCCGGAGAGACTTCACTCACCAAAGGCACGGCCGGTCGAGTCTGTGCCGACTTCTGTCTGACCTGATATGAGAAAGCAGTGTCACAGTGTCACAGCCAGATAAGCACATTACTGTGTCTCACTCAAGTTTTCGCCAAGGGCACAAAGTGAGGCAGAGTTTTTAAGGAGGCCAGTGTCCGGCAGGCCGAGGGGGAATACTACTGTGCAGCGCCTCCTACAGGTTTCTACATGTGTGCAGTGATACATTTATATTAAGAGCTATATATTCCAACAAAACAACAACCTGACATTGCAGTGTTGTGTGATTCATTCTGTTTCAAAAAAGAGATGAAATTAAAATGAACCCTTAATAATCTAAAACTACAAAGAATGTTGGATAAGACACGTGCATCCTGTTTGTAGACGTCATGTTTCTGATATATAGACAGAGAATTAACACAGTTTCTGATTAAAAATAATGATTTTGATGCGTGTAGATAAACACGTATGAACCTGCACTTGATCCTTCACGTTAGATTACATGTTTGTGAGATCCTTTGTTTTCAGTTGAAGTAAATGTTGCCTTTCAACTGAGGGCTCTGTAATTAGCTCGTTCAAAGAGAGACAACTTCAGCGGTGAAAGTAGTGGGAAGCACCAGTGTCTGTGAGGTGCACACTGTTTACTCCTCAAGGGTTTGTAGCCAACAAACAAACACGTCTATTGTTTTCTTAAATCAAGTTCAATCCCCAGAAAGGAGCAGCGCTATCACACTTTCATCTGGATCGACATATCTCAGCTACTGAATTCCAAATTATGGACAGTGTTCAGACCAGGAGGGATCTTTTTTGAACTATACAACAATTAAGCTCTCAAATCGTACCGGTACGGGAGGAAAATCTGTCCCCCCCCGAAAAAATATGGAATCCTCGCCATTTGTTAATGAGTTCTTCCACCAGCTTTCAAAAAGATAAAGTAGATTCAGTGTTTTTTGTATAATACTGAACATGAAACATTTCCTTTTTGTGGATGCAGGGATTTTAAATTAATTAATTTACAATAATACAAAACAAAGAAAAGCAGAAAAGTATAATGCTCATTTTTTTTGTTTGAAGGCCTAGAACTCATGACAAAGGAAATGGGACAAACTCAAATCAAAGAGCGTCTCTCTGTCTGTCTCGGGTGGTTCAT